AAAAAAAAAAGAAAGAAAAGAAAGAAAGAGAGAATGTTCATAACAGCAAAAATTTGGAAATAACCTAAATATCCCCAAGAGAAGTTGGGTTGAATATATTAAAGGTACACCAGATGGTAAAGATCTGAAATATAAAGAAAAACAAAGAATACAAATCCTGAATTCACCATTTCTTATTTATGCTACTTGGTCTGAATAGTAAATCCCCATAAGCCATAAAGTCCTCATGAGTAAAATGCCGATAGGAAAATCTCCCACTAGGGCTGTCGTGGGGTAGGTGACAGCATTATCATTACGCAGCATGGCTGACACCATGACTTCAACATGGTAGATATTCACACTCAATTAATTAAGTGTTCAATTAAATAAATAAACTTTATGCATTTATTTATGAGGGGCAGCAAGTCGTAGTTCTTCAAAAAAGAACAAGATTTGAATAGGTCTGAACCTTTTACAAAGTTGTATGACATTGATGATAACTATATCATCATCATCATTATCCTTATAACTATCAATTTTTTGAAAGGCCATGGCACCACCCCAGAATGCATAGAGCCTCTGAATGCTAAGGTTTCCCACCCATATGTTTTTATAGTAGTCTGCTGTAGGACAGTCTTCTCACATCAAAAAGAGGGTACAGTGTGGACCTCTATGTCTAAAAATATAATGCTTTTTCTCTTGCTCTCTCAAACATAGACATACACAAACACCATCTTTGTTTAGAAATTGTGGAGAATCTTCTTAAAGGAAATAGACAAAGGCCAAGAGTGGTGGCTCATGCCTGTAGTCAATACGAGCACTCTGGGAGGCCAAGGTGAGTGGATTGCTTGAGTTCACGAGTTCAAGACCAGCTTAAGCCAGACTGAGACCCCCCATCTCTAAAAATAGCCAGGTGTTGTGGTGGGCACCTGTAGTCCCAGGTACTTGGGAGGCAGAGGCAAGAGGATCATTTGAGCCCAAGAGTCTGAGGTTGCTGTGAGCTCTGATGCCAGCACTCTACTGAGGGGGGGAAAATGTAAGATTCTGTCTCAAAAAATAATAAATAAATAAATAAATGGAAATAGACACTCTTTTACTTTGTGGGAAGATCATTCAGTTTCACAAACCTCTAAACAACACAGGTGCTAGAATTACTAAGAAAAAAGATTTTTAACTAGGGGCAGAACTAAAAAGAAATACAACCTCCTTAAAGTTTGTGTGCAATTGCACCTTGTATAGCTCTGCTTCCATTCTTGAAAGCATCTGCCTTTTAATATGACTTAAAAGGTCAATTTTACCAATTCATTTGGAATTTTGAGAAAATATTCAATAAAAAATAACAGGACTCTTTGGAGCTAAAAAGAAATATTTCCACATGAAAGAAATAACCTTAATGAGTTCTTCCTTCAGGACACTCAAACTTCTCTTGAGCCACTTAACAACTCCATTACAGAAATCCTCTAATGTTCTACAACAGAAGGCCCAAGGTGTCCAGTGCGTGTGATCTAAAAGTGGCGTAAGAAGTTCCCCATACCCAGAGCCTCTGGATAGGGGAGTTGGAAAATATAACTCAGACGCACAAAGCCTAGCAGGAAAGGAGTTTTCCGGATTTCCATTCCCCCCTCCTCTTGGCAAGAGGACAGATGACTGCTCAACATGTCCCATAATATGCTGGAGACAAGGCATCCTTCAGCCAAGGTCATAAACCTTAGGCTGGGGAGTAGATAATGAGGGACTCTCCTCCTGAACGTGGTGCAACATAAAGATCTCATTGTGCAGCAGTCCAGTCTAGGCAGTGGCTGCTGGGCTGTGGAGGCAGATCTGAGGTCAAACATAGTGCCAGTAGAGAATGGTAGATGGGATATCAGTAGATGCCATTGGTTTTCAACATCACATGTGCCTCAGATTTGCTATCCTGGTCTAAACCATTCAAATCACCAAGGGTTCACTGAGCAATTAACATATCAGCACTGTGAGAGATGTTTTCCAAACCTGGTCGAATGTGAGAATCTTCAGGAGCTTTGAAAGATGCAGATCCTTCGCAATGTTTCTATAAATCTAAAGTTATTCTAAAATACAAAATTTACTTTTGTTAAATGCAGATCCCTTGGCTTCGTGGAATCAGAAGCTCCCCAGATGACTGTAAGATGGTCAGTTCGAGAGCTTGGAAACCACTGTTTATAAGGCTTCTGAGAGAGATAACTAAAATTTGGACCCTTGCTATTCTTACCCAGTCCTTTTATAATCGAGACCCTACAGTAACATCAAACTGCAGGGTGCAATACATTTGTGGATCATCACAAATTTTATGGATGGTAACCAGGATATATTTCTAAACAAAATAGAGACGTTTGAGGTACATCATACATAGTAATTTGTGAATCTTTTTTCTGAGATACATGGAGATACGTGGCCATATATTTATAGGTCTATCCAGATCTACACGAGTTAGACACAGATACCAACGTAAAGACAGAGATGCCGCCTGTGTCCCACAGCACATACCTGGAAAGCAGGTATGTTTTCCATGAGACAAAAGCCAAAACCACGTGAAATTCAATGACCTAAGAAAATGCTTCCTGCCGAAATCTTAATGCCTTTCCCTCTCTTTTGTTCCCCAGTGAAAACTAAGGTAAAGACATACCATAAACCACAAACTTTCCGTTATAAATTATAAATTGGTCCCCTCTCAGCTTTATTTCTTTAACTTGCCTTTTCTCCGTGGACAAATGTCATTGTTCTCTATTAAACGTCCTCCAAATGGAATATATTAAATTTTATCTTTTGAGTCTAAATTGATGGTGTTTTCATACTGTGAATGGTGTCTAGTGATTCTTTATAGAGAAAAAAGCAAGAGGAAATGGGTTTGCATAGCAGACAGAGGGACTTCAGCCAGATATTAATATAATGAAAAATTTCCTGGTAGCCAGGGCAGTACAAACTACAATGGGTCGAATGGGGGGGGGGGACCTGTGTGTGTGTGTGTGTGTGTGATGTGAAATCTAGTTCTCTGTAAGTCTATGAAAACAAACCAGATTCTTATCTGTCTGGAATTCTTTAGATGTAAGTCTGTCTGATAAGCGGGGAGTAGACTTCCAGGCCTATAATGCCATTTTTCCCTGAATCATTGAAACGTTCCAAAGTATCAAAGACATATTCATAAATCAATCACATAAACCAGAAACGTTTGCATGGTGTTTACCCACTGGCACACTGGTGACATTAGGGAAAAGCAGTTCGTGATGGTGTATGTCAACTGTGCACTGTGGAGAGTTTAACACCTCCACAAGCCACTTAGCATCTCAGGGTCTCATTAGCTCATCCCTAGAACGAAGGAAAACAGTATGTTCCTCCCAGAGTTATGAAGATAAATGAAATGCATATCTGAGCAGCACCCACACAGAGAAGTGTAAGAATTCATTAACTTTCTTACGCCTGCCTTTAACACATTAGCATCTAAAAAAATAGGATTTTTAAGACTCAAGTTCATGAAACATCAAGCTCTGTTCTTATATCTTAGCCAATACCTCTGAAACCAGAAGTCTTTCTTTATGGGGCACACAGTGCCGTTCCTCACCCTGTCTGATTCTCAGTCTTGGTTTGAATTGGTTTGGTTTGGTTTGGTTTGATCTTGGAAGAAAACATTAGAAAATGTCTTTCTCTCTTCCTGTTACCTAATAACTTCTCAATCTTATAATGATGGACAATGTTAAGAGTACTCTTAGTCTCCTGAAAAGTAAAAGAAGAGGAGGGGAAATGGGTAACACATAAAATTGTATCTACATCATCTATTGCCGCGTGGTAGTATAAATAGTTCGCTCTGGTAAATACTTTAGTGTGCTTTGTATGGATCATTTAGTGTGTTCGTTTTAGAAATGTTTAGATAGTTTAGTAATCATTGTCTCTTATTCTTCTCAGAAAACATTGACCCAAATCAGTCCTTTTAATAATGAACGTGCTTCTGATGTGTCTGTTGCAGCACTGTGGCGCTGGATTCTTTCGCAGCCTGGCAGGAGAATGTGTGCCTTGTGTCTGTAATGGTAATTCCGACGAGTGTCTGGATGGCTCTGGATTCTGTGTGGTAAGTCGGGGGCACCCACCACCCCTCAGGTGCTTCACTGGGCCTTTGTATCTTGGGTGAAGATAAAACATCTTCTTGGATGTTCCAGCTGCATAGGCGCGAACTACGAAGCAAGCCCTCTTTATCCCGCCCTCCAGCTTTCCCTGTAAAACGTATCATATTAACTATTTCTGATTTTAAGTGGCCACCAAGACATTTACATGAGTGTGCATGAGCCCCAGGAGGTTCCTGCTTTGTCACCCTCAGCAGCTGGTTTCCTGCGGTAGACCAGTGGCGATGGGACCGAGAATAATACACGGAGGACGAAAACCTGCTCCCAGATTCCTCTGTAATAGTAGAGTTGGCCGTATGTTTGGCTCCACTCCACACACAGCAGGAGCATGACACAGTTGTTGCACAGCCTATTTTAGAGCTCGAGGTAATCAGATCTATAGATCAAAATTAGTTGTTTTTTTAAAATGTAAGTTTAAACCCAACAGGTCACAAAAAAGAAAGCTTTGGCCTTGTGGTCTTTGTCAGTCTGTGTTCCAGCTCCCAGGAGACTCTTTCCCCCCTTAACTAAATGAATTCTCCAATAGACTGTTCCTCGGTGAAGCAGAATAGAGACTTGTGAAGGAGGCGGAGAGGCCTCCTAGCACAAAAGTACTTGCTACGTATTTCCTATTTTCCATTAATGGACTGACAACTTAGTGAAAATGGATTTTGAAATATTTACCAGAAGTGGCTTCAGCAGAAGTCACAGGGGACATTCTTAGCACATGCTCTTTCATGAGCCGTATGACATAGCAGAAAGCTTTGCTTCTTTGAGCTGCTATCTAGCAAAAGGGGCTTTCCCAAATTACGAGAGTATTTTTGCATAAATGATAAGAATACTTATTTAAATATACCCCAAATTAGCATAAATTGTCCCTATTCAACAGATAGCTTTTATTACAAGAGGCCTCTAAGGCCATTTCACAACGCAAAGATGCTATTTTACTCACACATTACATTAAAGTGCAAATTAGGATGTTTTCATTATTTTCAACCTAAAATTTGACATTCTTCTAGGGGCAGAGAATTAGGAGGCAAAATACTAACGGTTTCTATCCCTTCGTAGTGTCTGTTTAGTCCTGATACTTGTGTTCCCCTCCCCCATCTTCTTAAATAACCACGGCATCCAGGATGTCCTCTGCCGCAGTGTAGGCACCGCAGCTGCCAAAGTCTCCCCTTTTCTAATGCTTCCATCTCCGGTTTCCTGTTATTTTAATCCCAGTGACACTTGGGAAAAAAAAATCCCTGGATACACTTGAACTGCTAATGTACATCTCTGATAATTTGACCAATTAAGGCTGTTTGTTACCTGGTTTATTAAAATATAAGGCAATAGAGATTTTCAGTACCCTCAGCCGGCCATCACCAAGATGGAAGACTGAAGTAAATTAAAGAGAAAACATCCCACCTGCTAGTGCCTATGGAGAGCAGTGACTGAGCCATGCTTCTTTAGAGTGACACGCTCAGAATAGGAACAGTCAGGGTTTTGTCTCTGACCTAGCCATGAGCTTTTGAGAGGGACAGTTACCATGTGATTCCTTTCCAGTTCCTGGAGCCTATGAGGTTCCAATGACTGTTTGGGGATGGACTGGAGTGCTAACATTTATATGCACACTCGGAAGTTGCCAATCATCTTGCCATTACTTTGTTTCAAGACGGAAAATTAAAACAAAAAGAAATAGCCATTCTAATCACCTGAATTGTTGTGCCTCCATCCTGTCCTGTCCAGAGGGAAATATCTTTTCCCCCTGACTCAAGTTATATATGCTCAGATAAGAAAAGCAACAAGCAAAAAATAAAGATATGTGTTGCATTTCAAATACAAAGTGAAAATCACCTACAATTCCATCCCCCAGAGCTACACATATACTCCTATTCTTATAAATTTAAATTAGAAAGGAAAAAATGTATCATTTGCATTTAATGAAATGTAAGTGAGGGAACAGAAAAGGCTTGCAAATACAGAAAGAATATTTTGCCACGTGGTTGGTGAATATATTAAGTGTATGGTGTCATACTGGAAGCAAACTCATTTTTTTTTGTTTTGTTTTCTTTGGCATCAGCCTACTGATGTATCATTCCAGGTTGCTCCGCTCCCTCCCTGTGGTTCATTCTGAGCTCTCAGGGAGCCAGACAGGCTGAGATTCCAACACTAGAACTTCCTTATAGCCTACTGTGCTTACCAGCCTTGAATCAGCTCTTACAGATCAGCTGCCTTAACTCATTTCACCCATCTCCCAAAAGCAACCAAAAAATAAAGGGTCTTTTATTCCATTTTATCTTATTTTTCCTCTATGTCAAAGGCTTATAAAATATCTGCACCTGCCTTGTACACCTCAGCTGCTTCAAATTCTTTCTCAATTCCCACGTCCAATATTTAATTTGATCTTATAATTTATAGACCGATTTTAACAGGCTTTTGAGAGAAGCTGAAGTAAGTCATTCAGCAACAGAATGCAGAGTGATAAAATTATGCTACCATATAAAATACACACAGAGAGATTTCTTCACTAGTGGAACACTAGTCTTTTAAATACAGAAAGGTGGCTAAGCAAAAAACAGCTTGGGAATCTAATATGTATTGAGAGTCTTCCCAATGGACCAGTTTGCATCTTCTCAGAACTGCAGTGCATTGGACAGGGTTCTCGGCTGGGTCAGCTAAATGGGGCCCCAAAGGTCAGCCAACTCCACATGGCCAACTCTAGGAAAGTTCCAGAAGGAAGCACAATATAGGAACTGAATAGAGGAGGTGAAAAAGCAGATAGAAAGAGACAGGTGGCAGGTGGCAAGAGTACTTGGTAACCGATAATCCATATTTTATATCAGATCAAGAAGTTAGACACAAAGAACTAAAAAGGAGCCCCAACTGAGGCCATTTGCTATCTGAAAAACTGTTGCTTTGTCATTAGGAGAAAGTCAGGAGCCAAATGAGCAGAATTAGAACCAAGCAAATCCAATTTTAAGTTCACCAGTGGCACAAAGCTCTTCCAGTTCCTTTTGATTAAGAATTGATTTTTTTTTTCTTTTGGTGCAGTTTTTGGCCAGGGCTAGGTTTGAACCCACCATCTCCAGCATATGGGGCCAGCGCCCTACCCCTTTGAGCCACAGGTGCCACCCCAAGAATTGATTTGTCTAGTGATTTATCTAAACAAATGGACTTTTAGCACAGTAGAGAAGATAAACAATCCAATATATTGAAGGCTAATGGACTTTTCATTAATCTCAAAGCCTAATTAAAACCCTATTCAAAAAAGCAAAGATACTACATGTCTAATTTTTGTAGACATTGGCATCTTCCTCACAATTTTTGAACTCTCTTTTATTACGCGTGAGAGGCAGAAACCAACCATGTAAGTCCCTGTGAGATTAAGCATGTGTGTTCAGTAAACCAGCACTCTCATCAGGTATTGAAGAGCAAGAAGAAATTGAGTATAGAGACTTTTTGCTCCTATTTTACTTGGACCTTTTTTTTTTTTTTTTGTAGAGACAGATTTTCACTTTATTGCCCTCGGTAGAGTGCCATGGCATCACACTTCACAGCAACCTCCAACTCCTGGTCTTAGGCAATTCTCTTGCCTCCGCCTCCCAAGTAGCTGGGACTACAGGTGCCCGCCACAATGCCTGGCTATTTTTTGTTACAGTTTGGCTGGGCCTGGGTTCGAACCCACCACCCTCAGTATATGGGGTTGGCACCTTACCCACCGAGCCACAGGCACCGCCCTACTTGCAACTCTAAATGGTATCTGGATCAGGTGCATAATCCTTCCATTAAAATTTTAACAATTTTTTTATCTATTGAAAACTTGGAACAGCCAAAGTCTTGGACATGGTTATCATTTTGGTTCCACGATAGCTGAAGTTCTGAAACAAAGTCAGCAAATTTCATGCATGAAGAATTCTGAGAATGGATAGCTCAGTGGAGTCCCCTGTTGCTTTGTGCCATCAACATAGGAATATGACAGGAGCTGAATGCAGGTAGTAAGTTCTCTACTCGTTATTCCTTCTTCCTCTCCTAGCTGGAACTTGTTTCTCTCTTATACTCCCCAACTTGGTTAGCAACGTCACCACCCCCATGCTTCATCGACTTTCTTTTCTTCTTCCCCAACATTCACAGTGACGTTAAACCCTGCCAATTCGGAGTGGGAGAGGGTCTGCTCCCTGCCACGCCCTCCTACTGCCTTAACGCACAGCCACAGCGTCTCTCCCTGACATGGTGTCCCAAATACTCATATCACCAGCACCAGCTCTTTCCTCTCCTTCATCTCCCATGCAGCCATGGAGACGTCTTTCAAAACAACCCAATCAAGGCATCCTTATTTTCAAAACCCTTCAGAAATTCTACTTCAGCCACTCAGAACACATTGCCACCTAAATATGCTCTGTACTTGCACATCCTGGGCCTGAACTTGTTCCCTTGTCCTTGACCTGGGATTTCTTAAAGGATAACTTGAAGGCCTAGGTGAAATGTCACCCCCTCCATTAAGCCTTCTTTGACTTTCTCAGGAAGCGCTAACAGCTGCCTTTCTCGGGTCTTTGTTCCATAGCAGTGTGGGCCTTCTGCATACCTCAGTCAGAGCCTGTCACGTCCTCTATTACTCTTTGTTCACCTCTCTTGTTTCCTTCACGAGTCTGTGAGTTACTTAAAGGCTGGAGCCAGGTCTTTGTCATTTTAATAACAGTCACAGTTCATTGCCCATCATGATCTCAGCTTAATCCGTGTTTGTTAAATGAAGGTATTGGTTTCTAAAATAACAAGCTAACCTAAATGAAAAAAACTTTCATTTTGTAACTTATGGGATACTCAGGCCATTCTTCTATTGCAGTAAGAAGTCCTGTCTTATGCTAGAAACTCAGGTTCTGGCCCAACCCTGAGTAACCAGGAAACAGTGCTGCCAAAGCTAGGTATTTTTATCTAGGTCCTTGCTTCTAGGGTAAGGTGACCAGACATCCCGCTTTTGGCGGGACAGTCTTGATTTTTAACAATTTGTTCCGCGTCCTGCAGCGTTTTAAAAAAGTCCCAATTTTTGGAAAGAATGCATGACAAGCTAGAGCACAGTGGGAGAACGGGAAGGGAATATACGGTTTTCAGCTGCTGAAAAGGTTAATGTAACTTCATTTGGAAATGAAAAGGCTAATGTCAACTCCCTACTCCCCTCCTGGGCAAGGTATCAGAAGGAGACTGGCTCCCTCCCTTGCTTCTAGGCGAGGACAATTAGCTCAGGAGCCAAACAGTCTGGAACAAACAAGTAGTGCCCCCCCACCCACCCACTCTAGAGTAAGGTGACCAGACATCCCAGTTTTGGTGGAACAGTCCTGATTTTTAACAATTTGTCCTGCGTCCTGTGGCATTTTTAAAAAGCCTCGATTTTTGGAAAGAATGCACGACAAGCTAGGGAACACGGGAGAACAGGAAGGGAATAAACGGTTTTCAGCTGCCGTGTGGCTGTTTCGCCAGGATATGCATTTTATATTATTTTTGTTAATTTTATAACGTTAAACTTTAATAATAAATAATTGTTGAGAACTGATTATCGAGAACTGCTTATCAAAGTTTGCGTTGTTGTCAGGCCCCATCTCCCCCCCAATGGTGTCCCACTTTGCCAATGTTAAAATCTGGTCACCTTATTCTAGGGTATAGTCTAGATCAGTAGTGTCAATGATATTTTTGAGCTTGTTAGATGCAGACCCTCAATCCCACCCCAGACTTCCTGAATCAGAATCAGCATATTCACCAGAATTCCAGGGAATGCGTAGATATCTTGACATTTAAGAATTTTGATCTAGACACAGAGCAATTCTCTAACTTTATGGTCTCAGGAACACTCTTTACACGCTTAAGAATTATTGAAGATACATAAGAGCTTTTGTTTACGTGGATTTTATCTACCAATATTTACTGCATTTGAAATTTAAATTGAAAAAATTTTATAATGCTTATCAATGCATTTGAAAATAGTGATAACAAGCCCATTATATGTTAAGACAAATAATATGCTTTTACAAAACATTAACATATTTTACAAATTGAAAATATGTTTAATGTCTGGCTTGCTTAATAGATGGCAGCTGGGTTCTCCCATCTGCTTCGGTATCAATCTGTGCTGATATCTCATGTGTGTAGTCTCTAGAAAACTTCACCTTACACAATGAAAAATGAGAAAATGAGAATGCAAAAGATAAATAAAATTTCAGGATTATTTTGAAAATAGCTTTGGCCACCCTGGGCATACTTAGAGCTGCATGGGTCTAGCCTGGCATAAGGCATGCTGGCAGACACTCCAAGGCTAACCTGGTCCCGTGGAGGCTTCTTCCTGCATTATATGCTGTGACCAAGAGGTGAGAGACATCATTTCTCACCTGGAGGAGACATAGCTGGTGTCCAAATGTCATTACTAATACTTATTTACAGTTGATCGTCTAGATGTAGCTTTCTTAATCAGTGGCTAAAGATCCAGAATGCTTATTCCAATTTTAAGTGGGATCAGTTTTCTTAAAAAGTAAACTTTTCTTCCCAATAACATGCTTATTTATTGTTGTCACTTTTGTTTTTTGTTCCTCAAATGGCAGAGCACTGTAGAAAAAGGGACATTTTTGCAATCTCAGAGTAAAAGATGTTCAGAGCTAGAAGAAACCTGACAGGCCATCTGGTCTAAATCTTCATTCTACAGATAAGGACATAGAGGAGGTCCAGGAGGATCAGGTGACTCATCCAGAGTCGACCAGCTAGAAAATGGGAGAGCTAGTTGCCTCCAGGACTCTTTCTACCTGTTTCCCAGAATGTGCACTGATGCTTCTTAGGGAAGTTCATAATAAACCCCTTAAAGGAAGGCAGATAAGGAAAGTTAATATTTGCACTCTTAGGATTTGGAGGTTGGGAGAGATTTGGTACTTTTCCTTTGAGGATAACTGCTCTATGGTAGCCATGGCGGAATTAACGCTCTGACAAGGAATACAAGGCTTCTGTTAAGCCATAAGGGGACAGAATTGACAATTTGTTCATTTTTGCAGCTTAGTTGTCACTTCAGGCAAAAAGTATGGCTTAACATCTCACAATGGGCCCATTTTCTTCTGCATAGATGTGATTCACCTGTCCAGTAAGAACTCAGACAAATTTGACCCCAGTCTACAAGCAGCCCTGCCAGACTCAGGGCTGAGGTCAGCGTAGGTGGACAGGGCTCGTTGGGTTTACCTGGAAAGAGAGATTGCCACCAATTTTGAGCTAGAATGTTAATTTCCTTTATTCGCTCTAGATTTGACACTGATTCATTAATTCATCCTTTCCTCTTTTCCTTCATTTTTTTCCCCAACAAATATTTTCTGAAGGCTGACTTAGCACAAGACCCAGTGCTAAGAACTGTGAGGAAAACATTTAACATCTTGTTGTCTACATACAATACTTAATTTCTCCATTTTTCATTCATCTGTCAAGCAGTCTGAACTAGCCCCTAAATCTTATTCTGCTAACATAAATCTAATCAGAAACCAAATATTGTCCATACCTAAAGGCTGATCAAATGCCTGAAAACTGTTCAACCAGGATAGCTAGATCTCTGTAATTAAAAATCCTCCCTTAGGACTAATGTATTATACTTCATTTGAAGTTCAAAGTGTTAGCAAAAGACTGCAACCTTCTAATGTAGCCGTTTTATGACTGCTTGGAAAAAGAGCCTTTTCTTTACGGTACTGGAGAAGCAGTATAGTTTGGAAATTAGCAGACTCACTTCTGGAGCCAGAGTGCCTGAATCTGAATCTCACTGCTGCCTGCTATCTGGGTGGTACTGGGCAATTTACTTGAGCTCTCCCTGTGCTTCTATCTCTTCTTATGTAAAAGGGTCAGAGGGGATTAGAGCCTACCTCAGACAGGGCCTCACTAACGTTTCATTCTGAGCCTCAAATATAACATTAAGACAAAAATAAAGAGCTCGGAGTTCAGCCTACTGCTGTGTCATCTGGCCTTCCTTGAGGTTCCTCTGCAGAGCCCTGTTTTAAAAAGTTGCTCCACTGAAGCTTTTGTGCGTCTCTTTTACTAAGGGAATCGCTCAAATAGGAGGGTGCCTCTTCAGTGGTATTCTAATTATAATGATATCATTTTTCACTGAAAACCCGACTCAGCCTTTATACACACACTCCAGTGAATGTGAAGGTGAAAATATCGTGCAGCTAATAGCTTTGCCTTGTGCGATTTGGGCCAATCCCATAGAAGGCTGTCTGTGTGTTGGCAGCAGTGCCCCTCACAGAAATAAGTCATCAGCCCCACAGCTGCCGAGTACCTACTCGTTCCCAGTTAATGGCAATACAGTGCTGGACATGTTGGGGATGGGTGCTGAGGCTGAGAACAGATAACAGACTACAATGTGGGTCTTGGAAAGAAGGAGGGATTCCAGAAGGGAGTATCAGAGAGGACTTTCCAAAGATTTTAAAGCTGGGTACAGATCTTGAGTGTTGGAAAGGTATTCCTGGCAAAAGGATCTGTTTTGTGTGGGGTTTTTTCCTATTATGCTTATTACAAGTGAAATAATCCTACACATAAACCTGCCTACTATTTCTTCTGTGTCACTATCCAAGATACAACCCATTAGCAGGCCGTTCATTACCTTTGCCCCATTTACAGCCTGACATACTTTGCCCTTCCAAGCCATAAATCCTCATTGTTCCCTTTGTCATGGGAACTGCCAGAGGGACTGGCAGTTGATTGATTGGTTTTTCATTTCATATTTATTCCAAGGTAAGAAGCTGATGGATGCTTCTGGAACGTCTGGGATTTGATCATTCTGAATTGAAATGGGTAAAATCTCCTCTGCACTCAATCTAAAGAGTCCCCAGGCTGCTGGCGACACAGAGACGTCCGGCAGGAACCCATCCACCACTTGTTTGTTCTTTCAAGCACTGGCCAACATGTCTTGTGCTGACCAGCCCTGACCCACACCTTTGAAGCTGTCAGGCCTGACACTCCCTTTACTTAGTTTCTAGATTTGTTGTCTTTAGAATTTCTCTTGCATCTGGCGGCACCTATAGCTCAGTGAGGATGCCAGACACATATACAGAGGCAGACAGGTTCAAACCTGGCCAGGGCCAGCTAAAACAACCATGACAGCTGCAAAAAAAAAAAATAGCTGGTCATTGTGGTGGACGCCTGTAGTCCCAGCTACTTGGGAGGCTGAGGCAAGAGGATTGCTTGAGCCTAAGAGTTTGAGGTTGCTGTGAGCTATGATGTTAGGGCACTCTACCCAGGGCAACAGCTTGAGACTCTATCTCAAAGAAAAAAAAATTCTCAGTGCATCTTACAAGGGTACATGTGAAACTTACTAAATGTAGAATATAAATATTGTCTTAACACCGTAACTGAGAAAATGCCGTGAAGGCTATGTTAACCAGTCTGATGAAAATATTTCAAATTGTATATAAAACCAACACATTATTACCCCCACCCCAAATTTCTCTGCATCCTTGTTGATTTTCCTCTTTTCTCTCCTAGCACTGCCAGAGGAACACAACAGGAGAGCACTGTGAGAGATGTCTGGACGGTTATATTGGAGATTCTATCAGGGGCACACCCCGGTTCTGCCAACCGTGCCCCTGTCCCCTGCCCCACCTGGCCAAGTAAGTCCTAAAGGCAGAGATATTGTCTAATGTTCATTTCTTTTTTTTTTTCCATATCCAGAGTTCTGAGGTTTTATCACAGTCAAAACTGAATACTTTGTGTTGAGATAAGACTGGAAAACATAGAGAAAAGTTCTCTCGCTTAAATGCACTGTCAAGGAAGCTTAAGCACTTGCAATGTAGGTGATAATTCTGTTCCCAAAATATCAGGGTGCATCATAAGGTCAATGAAGTCTCCCAAGTTTTATAAACAAGGCTAGTCTCACCTTTTTTCAACTATCTTTTCATCTAGAGGGAATGCAACTTGTAATGCCATCAGACTCGTGATAACACAGTATTTTCAGGAGTACTGTTTCTTCTAACTCATAGAATAGAGGTTTCCCTATGTGGCAGCCAAATATGCTTTTCTTTGCTTTTCTTTCCTTTTCTTTTTCTTTCTTCCTTTCTTTTCTTTTCTTTCTTTCTTTTTCTTTTTCTTTTTTTTTTTTCTTTCTTCTGAGACAGATTTTCATGCTGTCACCCCAGGCTACCATGAGATGGCGTCATAACTCACAGCAACCTCAAACTCCTGGGCTTAAGCCATCCTTTTGCCTCAGCCTCCCAAGTAGCTGGGATTGCAGGCCTCTGCCACACTGCCCAACTAGTTTTTCTATTCTTAGTAGAGACCGGGTCTCAATTTTTCTCAGGCTGGTCTCCAACTTCTGAGGTCAAAGCAAGCCTCCCTTCTAGGCCTTCCAGAATGATAAAATTACAGGAGTGAGCCATTGTGCTGAGCCCCAAATATGCTTTTCAGAGTTAGAACGCAGATGAAAAAAGTGCATGCTTTAGGCCAATCGGCTCATAGAAGATTTACGAGAAAACAATTTTTCCCTTCTGGCTATAGTTTGACCTGAATAAGAAGTTAAAGAGAATAGATATACATCATAATGGAAATAATGGAATTATTTTCAGTTATATAACATGTATACATCCTGTAATAAAATCATGAAAGGCTATTTTATTGACCTAAAAATGACATAGTACAGGAATAAAATGGTGTAGTGATGTATGGTTTTCCAGATGTCAACCAGTTCTCTAATTCTCTGAAACCAGCTCCGTAGCCTGCAGTCAATTTGGTTCTGACACTAAGTTTGTGGAGTTGGCATAGATGCCATGGGTCAGGATCATTTCCACAGAACCGCTCCTACTTCAGGTGACAGCCAAAAATGGGGTCCTAAGCTACATACACTTTGGCTCAGCAGACTACAAAGCCTGAGGTTCGCCTCAACTCTTTCCTCAGGTTGGATAAATCATTAAAATGACTCAGAGAACTCAGAAAAGTGCTGTACTTATGAGTGTTACTTTATTCTAAAAGATACAACTCAGGAACAGCAAAATGGAAGTGATGCATGTGGCAAGGTATGGAGAGAGGGGTGGGGGCAGGTGCAGGGACACCACTCTCCACGGTCGCGGCTAACTAGCATACACTCAGGGAGCCTGGAAATGGGCTTGCTGTGGACAACTAAAGGCAGTCTTTTCACTCAGGAAATTCCAAGGATTATAGAGCTCTGTGCCAGGAACCAGGGGCAAAGACTAAATACTGTATGTGTTTTTTATTATACCACAAATGGAAAGAAAGTGAACCTAAGTTCATATTTTGGTTTTGACACAAAATATCTGTGTGATCTTAGCAGGTTCCTTTCTCCCTATATTTCACTATTTCACTTTCCATAGGACTTGGGGTCAACAAGACTAAATTCAGATCCTGACATCATTTTTGGAGACAGTCTCACTCTCTCACTCTGGGTAGAGTGCTATGGCATCCTCATGGCTCACAGCAACCTCAGATTCTTGGGCTCAAGAGATCCTCTTGCCTTAGCCTCCTGAGTAGCTGGAACTATAGGCCCCCACCACAGCACTCAGATAGTTTTTCTATTTTTAGTAGAGATAGGGATCTTGCTATTGTTCACGCTGGTCTCAAACTCCTAACCTCAAGCAATCCACCTGCCTCAGCCTCCTGGAGTCCTAGGATTACAGGTGTGAGCCACTATAACCCACCACCATCCCTTGATTCTTTTGCTAGCTCTGGATTCCAGTTTTTTTTCTTAGTGTAACAAATCAAATGAAGAATTAAGGATCTGCATCATAGGATTGTGAGGATGGGACCAGGAGAATATGTGTGGGTTGGTATATTGCCCATGAAAATGTGTAAAGTCGATGCTGTCTTTACTGAATACATAGCATTGTATTTTCTCTACTACTTATAGTCCACTTATTTACACCAGGCACTGTTCTTGGTGTTTGACACAATACTTACGTAATTGATAACTGTCATAGAGATTAAATCAAGTGATGCACATACAAAGACTTACAATAAAAAGCCTAAGTACCTTCTCCCCACACTCACACACTTAAAAAAAGAGAAGGAGATGTCAACCACATTTCCTACTAATTTTTTTCTTAATTGAACACCAACATACACCAACATTTTACCTACTGCCTTGTGATATATTCAACTGCCCCGGACCTTGCTTTATGATGTTTTTATGTTCAATAATATCATAAGGTATGAAAACTGAATAGAACTGAGGGTGAGAGTAGAAAATGCAAACACTGAATGTTCTACTATTTTCACTAGAGTACATCTTGATTTTTTTTTTTGCCTTATCTAGTTATATTCTTCAACTGTTCATTTATATCCTGCTCTCAACCATTAGACTTAACCACATCTCTTTCTTGATGATATAGTTATTCTGTTAAATACACTTCTTCCACCTTCCTAATAACCAGGGTCACTTGATCTCCCATATAAAGTTGTTTGATAGCATCATCTACTCCAAAAAGGTTTATAAGCTTCAAGCTGTAGATCGTTTTTTAGGCAGTAACAGAAGAATTAGGAAGGCAATGTCAGATGGTTCTTTCTCATTGTATCGTTCCACTTTTGTATGTTTTGCCCTATGACAAGACTTGCTTATCTAAATGATATGATATTCATGCCTTATGATGCAAGACTTTTAGAAGAGTATTCCCTATGGACTAAGAAGTCTTGGCTATAGGCAACCATACACTTACGGAGAACTTATTATATTCCAGTATAAAAGCTAGTATTTTCGAGTACTTGTTATATACCAGTCATGTAGTAGTCACTGGTGACACAGGGTGAATAAAACAGTCAAAAAGTCTTGCCTTGATGAAAATAGGTCCCAAAAAAAGCAATTTTTTGAAGCACCCAGAGCAGATGATCTTTTACTTTTTGAGCCACCTTAATCCATAGGTTAGTTTTTAAAGACGTGCTTCCGAAGGCTCACTCTTCAATGAATGAAGCAGAAAGTTGCCCACTAGGTTTGAGTCTCCTGTCGTGAAAGAGAAACAGTTTCCAAAGTCACTGGGGACCACCATTTCTGACTCTATTCTTTGTGCAGGTGTGAGCGGACCCAGGGTTGAAGGGAGCAGTTAAGGGACTTAGGGAATGTGCTCTGAAGTTAGGGACATATTCACATATATGAAAAGTGAGTCTCTATAGCACAGATTTGAGGTTGAAAAACCTGCTGAAAATGAAAATGAAACCCAAAATCTGTCACCTAGACGTAATATTGTGTAGGAGCAGGGAGGAACTGCGAAGGGTGTAAGAGACCTCTGAGGTTTTGCAGATTTGTCTCTATCCTGGCATTAGCTCTACTTCTTGAATCCTTTGGGTGGTGGGGGGTGTGGGGCGGGACTGGCTGCAAAAAGGGGAGGAGGGGGTAGTCTGTGGTCATAAAACACAACAAATTTCCTTGGATCCCGTAAAATTCTAGCTTGGAATCTGGCCTCATTATTGACTTAATTAACTAACCTCAAATACAAATCAAATATCTTATCAAAACTCAAATGCCCCATTGCCTCCTCCAGCCTTTCTTTTAAATATTCATATTGCTATTTTTTTATATATAAAAATAAAAGTTCCAGGACCTTTAAGAGAGGCACCCAGTTTGGATTCTGAATTACACTTCAAAAGATCCTTGGAGTTGAGCCTGCAGACCCAGGATTTGATTTCCAGTTGCAATAGCCACATCAGGAAGCAAGGAAATAATGTTCAAGAGAGTTAAGCAAGCAAACAATAGACACAGGCTATTTTTCTTCAAGTTCCCTAAGGGTTTTCTAAGAGCAAAAGGCACCCTTCCACTTGAAGGCGCAGTCAGTGGGCTGAGAGAGACTCGGTGGTGGTTTCATTTCCCAGCCAAAACCAGAGTTTACTTTAAGAAAAAAACATAAACAGTTTATGCTGATGAAAAACAAAAATGAACCCTGGAGGGCTGGCCCTGCCTCCAAGTCTCCTCCTCCACTACCGCTGAGACCAAGAGTCATGCAGTTGTTCCTGGGGACCATTTGCATGGAGCTCATGTTCTGATTTTGGAGTTGGCCAGACAGCCTCCATCTCTACCAGTAGCTGTGGAAATCGCTCCAATTAAGGAAAATGTCATCTGTTTGAAACAGCAGGACACCAGCCACAGGCAGAGGACTCCAGATGCCCCCGGCAGATGTTTCATCCTTCAAGCCGTGGGCGGGCTGTTGGGTGGAACACCTTCAAAGAAAAGATGCGTGGGGGGCTGTTCAAGTTCTGGACTCTTCCCTGACAGTGATTCTTTCTGTAGGCTAACCAGCCAAGTGAAGGGTAAAAGGTCAAAGGAATGTAATTTTGTTGGAATGTTTTTCCCAAACTGTTAGAGAAAATAAATTGTGGGTATTGCCTTTCACTGAGATGCACATATTGTTTTCTGACTGATTTTGTAAATGTCTTCAAACAAAACAAACACATTCTCCATTTGCTTTTCTCCAAAGACCATGAGGGTAAAATTGCTGATACATTCAGGAATGGAGAGCAGCAGGTCACACTCCACGGTTGTACAGTACCTAAGCTCAAACTAATTTAGAAGTCTTGAAAAATGTTATACACACACACACCCCTATACCCTGCACAATTCATGTCTTGATATATGAAGAATTTTCCAAACTGTGGAGAGTATAACCCCATTTCCCTTGTGTTAATAATTATGATAGTTATTTATAATGTCAAACCAATATTTTTATTACTTTCCTATTCTGTGTTCTAATTTTTATTATCTAAAAAAAAAAAAAAATAAGAAAGGGTTCATGGACTAAAATCCTTTTATGGTGAGTCCTATCTTGCCGGAGTATTTGTTTTGTGACTTTAATCAACTCAAGTCAGTCCCTGCACCCTTATTCCCAATCTTTAAGGTACTTAGGAAAGAAATTAAGCTTGTGGAGGTTAGAAAGTTTCATTTAGAACTGGGTCCTGCTCTTTAAAAATAGATGAGCTCTAGTATAAGAAAAAAATAAATTAAAGAAGGAAACTTAAAAATATTCACAGAAAGTAGTGAGGAATAAGAAAGGATTCTCATGTAGAAATTAAAATTTGATTGTTTTATTTATGGCTTTGAAATACATGTTTTAGACTTGTATTTAAAATATGCAAGGGGTGCCAAAAAATGTACACACACTTTAAGGGAAAAAATTGTATTAAAATTATAATATTCAAATCACATTTGACTTCTGCAATTACCAGAATATAAGATACAATATACAAAATATCATAATCCACTATATATTGACTATTACAATTTTAATAAAGAATTTTCCTTTCTTAAAATATATATGTATATATTTTGTCACCCTCTATATACCTAGGGCCTGGGAATTGTTGCAACAATATAGTGGCATTTTTTTAATCTGGGCCTGCTGGTTTAAACTTTCCTGCAAGGTAAATGTAACAAGTTTAAATAAATCAAACAATCGCATCTATTAGAACTTCTAGGGGACCAACATGTGGGAGATCTAAAAAAGTTAAGACAGTCTCTTCAGTGGTATATGGAGCTGACTTCTAACTTTCACTTACAATTCCAGTTTTGCAGAATCCTGCTATAGGAAAAATGGAGCAGTTCGGTGTATGTGCAAAGAAAACTATGCAGGACCTAACTGTGAAAGGTACGCTTATAAAATTCTCTTACTTTCTGTCTAAGTTAAAGGATGCTTTCTGTTTCTTACACTCATCAGCTTTGCCATGATCCTTCGGGAGAGGGGTTCCCCTTGGCCCTCTGAAGTTTTGCTGAAAAAAATCACTGAAGCTGCAGTGATTGTATGCCTTTGGAGAAAAAGGGGTACAAATTTATTTAAAGTGTATACACGGGGCCTTCAGAATGAAGACTCAAAGACACCAGAGAAATTGTCCACGTTTATGCTTAGGTTCAACAAAGTATAGATGGCCAGGCAGAAATGCGATTGGGCAAAAAGGTTATGATCTAATGCCGATAGACTGAGTGAGGAAACCCACCTGTCAGCTGCTCACAGTTTTCTAAGATAAAAATAGCTTTTGTTAAAAAAAGACTCAGAGAGAAGCCTTATTTTTAAACAGAAATGCCATGAGATTGGCGAGGTCTTATTTTTAACAGAAATGCTGTAACATTGGCGTCATTTATCGTGTTTAGGCAGCAAATACTGTGCAGTGCTGTAAAGACAGGGTGGGAAAGCAGGGAGGTGCTGCCCAAACGTCACACACCTTCAGACAGCTGCCCGGCCAGCAGCACACCCACACAGCCCCAGGGAGCTCGCAGACTCCGCCCGGGGCTTCCCATGTAAACCTTAAATTCTGAGCAACCTCACTTCCAAGGAGAACCCTCTCTAGCTCTCAAACGGTAGTTCCAAAACAAACAAGCAATAAAAAGGCACAGTGTCTATGGGACAGAAAATTTCCCTGCTCAGAAGGCATTGTTAGTATGATTAGGAAATGTGCAAATTGTGGATAATTCTTTCACTAAACCGTTGTGGGATTTTTTTTTTCCGTAACAAGGAAAGTGAGAGCTGTGAGCCCACATGAATTTCATCCATTAGGAGGGAGGGAAGCGACAGAGGTGATTACATTACACTGGGCTGATTAATGTTTGTGACACACTTATTCTGTATTTCCTTACTTGGGGACAGGAGAACATCAGGCACCTGATTTACTCATTTTCTGGCTCAGTGGAGGTCTAAGAGGATTGTTAATCAGCCAGAATGGAGCTTTTCTCCTCAGATTCAGCTCAACTTAGACCGATAATGACTGAGTAGTATTGCTAATGGCTGTTCCAGGCTCCTGGAGAGGGGAGTTAATGGCCCTACAGAGAGCCCTGCAGATCGAATGCAAAGCCTCCCAGCAGTGAAATAGCCTCAGCCCTAAGGCCCTAAGGGTTCAGTCCCACAAAATTAACCAGAGGTACAGATAAACATTCTTATCTGCAGTGGCCTCCCCAGCCCAGCACAGGACAGCATGCCCACCCCCACATGAGACTGCAAATGATAAATCTCCCGGCCTGTACAGAAGTCTGGGGGCTCTGCTATTACCCAGGGAGGGTGGGTCAGACCTGGTGCTGGAATGGTAGCTTCCTGACCCTGCAGAGGTGGGACCTAGGAAAGGGCCCCAATTTGGGTAGTGAAAGTAGAGTGTTAAAGAGACGTCACAGTGGCCGGCTGGGTTTGCTTCTCAGCTCTGCCTGTGGGTGAGCCTTCCAGGCAGGCAGGTTATCTCATCTCTCTAAGTGGTAATTTCCACTTTACAAAGTGGAGACATTGAAGGTCCCCAGCTCACAGGACTGTTCAGAGGTAATCCTGTGAAGTTTGTAGTATGGCACCTGGCACTTCATGCGAGCTCAATAGAAATTAACTGGTGAGAGCACGCATCATGGTCATGGTGGTTATTGTCCCACTCCTGGTGATGGAGGGGACAGTTAGCTCATTTTCCTGAATCATGCCTTTGAACTTAATAATGCTATTTATTGAGCAACTCTTAGGTTTTTGTTGCTTTACATTCCTCATCTGCCATCCTCACAACCAGCCTGAGAAGAGGTTCTATTTGTCATTTTGTGGATTATGAAATGAAGCTGGAGGGGCTCAATCATCCAAAAGGAGGTGGCCTTTGCTATTTCTGATTTGCATTTGACCCTAAGAATGAGAAGAGGGTTCCTGCTCTGAGTTTAACAGCCAGGTTCTTAAGTTATCTAAGCGTCCCATGTATTTGTGAACTGAGACTTCTCTTTGGACGTTTTTTTTCCCCTTAATATGTAGCTGATTTGTATGGATATCTGTTTCAAACAAAAGCAAAAATTAGTCCAAGCCAAGAATACCCTAGGTCTTTCTGTAGTTAGAGACCATTTAATGAAGTGACAGTTTTCAAATCTGACTGTGTCTAAGTGTCTTCTGGAAAGGTTTAAATTCCTGAGCCTTCCCCACACCCCCTCCACCACCCCACTGAAAGGACAGCCTGAAGGGACAGTGCCTGGGGTCTGTGTGTTGACTGCCTGCTGGAGTCTCACACACCGCGGCTGTGACTCCTTTGTGGACCACTGCTCTGCTTTAACCTTCAGTGCCACACTCACATAACAGAAAAGTGTTTCTCCAACTGTGGCTTAAAATCCATTGGTGTTCTCAGAAGTATTCATGGAGGTTCATAGGTTCTCAGTGAGTATTATTTTTTAATTTTACATTTAATTTCCATGAGAATCCTGAGAAAAAAACATTCACTGAAACATGCTCCAGACCAGTGATTTCCAACCAGTGTGCTGTGAGAGGATCTTAGGTGTGCCACAAAAATTGGTAAGGATCATTAAATTATTTTCTAAAGAAGTTCAAAGCACAGTAAGTTGGTTCTTTTTTTTTTTTTTTTT